GAACTAAGATTCGAATAAGATGTAGTTAGTTTGAGAGAAGACTGAATGGAGACATCTCTGTAAAGATGGTGACAGAGGCTGAATATTTCTATGCCTATTTGGCCTGACTAGTAGAAGCAGCCTTTTAAGAGGTATGGCACCAGCTGTAAATGTGACTGAGATGAAAAGTGCCAACAGTAGGCTTGACGTGGTCTGTCTGCTAAGAAGCTTTCATAAACATGCCTGTGCTCTGGTTCCCTCTGTGGTTGGTTGGTTTGTTTGTGAATAATCGAAAATGATTCTTGCTGGAGTCTCATCAATGATGAGACTCTGGCTAAAAATGAGGTTTGGCTTGGTTTGCCTTTTTTTTCATATGTTCTTTATATGTCATTTATGTGAGAGAGAAGGGCAAGGCTGAGAGTTTGTCTGCTAAGGACTAGGCAGGGCATGAACTTAAAGTGCAAGATATACTTCACTAACTCCCCATTTGGCCATGCCCATGCTTTGCACTGAATGGTCTTTTTGTGGGCCACTTCTGAAGTAGACTAGGCTATGAATAGATGTGCATTCACATAGGGAGCTAGTACTGAATACTTATGGGGCTATTCTCAGTGTGTAGAGCTCTTATAGACCAGAGGTCCCTGGTTTTTCACAGGACAGGCTATCCATTAGTATTTTTACTGCCTTAGTGTTCAGTAGTCACAGCAGTGCATCAGGTTCCCATTGTCCTAGACACTACAAAAACACAGAATTAAATGACTATTCTTGCCCCAAAGAGTTTACAATTGAAGTACTGGCATTACTGAGTTCTGACCTGGCAGGACAAGTTTTGGGGTTGTTCCCTCCCACATCCATTTAGTTATCAGCCTCTGTGCTAAGGGTACCAATACATCTGCTCATTGTATTGATGCAGACATGGATAGTGGTGCAGTAGGGACTCAAATGAGTTGACCAGCTCATTAAATAGTGGCAGGCGTAAGTGGATTTTTTGCCCCTTTTTCCTTGCCTGGTTGGTGTGCTGAAGTAGGTAATTCTGGGGCAGGCTGGCTTGGGAAGGAGACACGTTCTGTAATGAAGAGAAGTTAGCTGTCTCTGGGAAAGAGGCAGGTGATGATGGGGCAGCATGAAATGGAAGTGAGAAGTTGCCTGTGGGATTGGAAAGGAATAATTGTACCTGAGGCTGGTTCAGTGTACAGCCCGGATAGCATCTCGTCATTCATCTCAGCATGTGTGTGGGTTTGAAGGATGGAGTCTACAGTGCTGCTACTGATCACTTCCACTTGGTTTGCAGATTGGCACGTGGATTCAATGTTAGGGCATGCCCATTCAGATCTGGCGTTGTTAACAGCTCCTGAGGCAGATGCCGTCCTGTACCTTCTGTTACTGTACCCCATCCGGCCGTACCACACTGGATCTTCCTCTGCTGCCAGGAATGTGGGCGTAATCTTTGATTTGGAGCTCACCGTGCTGGAACAGATTGCACTGAGTTATTTTTACCAATTTAGGACTATTGCCAGACTACACCCTTTTTCCTCCACAATTATGAAAGCATAATTTAAAATGTCTAGTACAATCTCTAGCCCTGATCACTTGACTGCTGAGGTGGACTTCCACCTCCACTGAATCATTGCCTTTCACTTAGGGAGGCAGATAGGGATGCTTCTTGCTAGGATAAAACCACTTGGACGTTTTCATTATTGGTTAGTAGGTTAAGCATGAGTTTCTACTTAGAAACCTAGCCATAGATCATAGGTTTCCATTTGGAAGCTGTACCATAGCTGGCTAAAAATGGCACCATTGGAAATTCCCAGTTGGAAACTTGTGCAGCTGCCTATTGTGTTATAATTGTACTCCATATAGATAACGAATGTCAAACAAGCCAAAGGACATCAATGCGTGAAATGGGGTCTGAACCAGGATTTTTGACTCTTAAGCTAAATAACAGCTGAACTGCTCTTCTTTGTAAATCTAGCCTTCTGTTTGACACCTTGTTCACAACCTCCTGGATTAACTGCTTATGCGTGAAGACATTTAAAGGTCTTGCCTTATACTAATGTTTCTATTAAGTTCTGTCTTTCTTTACAAATCCCTCTGGGTTTGGGATAATTCTTCTGTGTACCATTCACTCATTCCAATCTACATTTATTCTTGTTCTCAAGACCCTAGTGAGATACTTCAGAGATGGGGAAGCATGGTTCAGTAGTTAGGGTAGTTGGCTTAGGACATTGGGGTCATGTCCCAGCTTGCCACAGTCATCTTGGGCAAGTGTAGAGGACAAGTCATCTATTTTTTTGCGTTAGTCCTGTCTTTGTAAAACGGGGTTCGTTGCAGTGCCTTGCTTCGTAAGGATTGGTAAAAATAATGAATGCGGGCTTTAAGAGAACTTGAGGAAGAGAATTTACACAGGCTGGGATTTTCAACAGAAGTTAGCAGTGAAGTGGCCAACTCCAATTAATATCAATGGCACTCAAGTAACTTTCTGAGGTTCATTTGAAAACGCCAGCCACAACATTGTAATTTAATAACCTCTTACAGAAGGGTGAAATCTTGAAATATGATGACGTATGCTCAAACAATGTCCATGCTACAAGAGGTAATAAAAAGAAAATTTAAGTAAATAAGAGTGCCGTTTTGTATTATAGTATAATGGAAAAAAAAAAGTAAAAATAAATGTTAGCAGGGTGACTTTTTTTTCAAAAGAGACTGAGTTTAGTCTTATTTGGACTTCTGTCTTCATTCATCTCCTTTGAAAATCACGGTCTGAAAGATTTGGCATCCAAATCTTCTAAACTGCGTATAGCAAACATTTCTCCCCGTGCTGACTTCTCCACTATCCCACACTCCTTTTTAAACAAACAGTAGATGAAAATACTCCTACATGTGGTACAAAGCCCATATGCACATCTCGACATAAAGATGAATCTTCTGAATTTAATCTTCAGATTGCCACATCTCCCAGGAACTTGTTTTAAGAGATTTAAAATTATTACTACTTCTGCCTAAAAGGTTAGCAGATGTCATCTGCTGTACACAAGCCTAGGAAAAGCTATTCTTAGCTTCTTATTCCAGAGAACTCCTTAAATAGTATTGAGAATACATGCAGAATGCTTTTAAAATATGATTTGAAAGGCTATACTAATGTATATAATCTTTTGGGTATTTTTACACTACTAATTGCCCATGGTATCTGTGCAAAAAAATATAACTATTTGAACAGAGGCCACTGACTATTTTTAGGTATCAATGTCTCTTGTTAAAATTAAAACATCATTAAAATGCCACTTGGGAAAACTGAAGCTTATTTTAAACAGGGACATTACTGTATTCCAGTCATGGTATGGGCTTACATTCCAGCCTCTTTAGAGCCTCTGGAAAGGCAAAATTTCAAGTGCCTTGCATGAGATGTGCCCTTGAGGTTAAACAAATAATTAAACAGTTAAAATTTCACCCACTTCTCTTTCCCCTTGTTTCAACTCCCATAAATGCTCCTGGTGCTTTGTTAAAACTCCAGATAAACGACCATGAGCACACTTGCCCATCTCGATTTCTCTGCTTTTTCTGGAGCTTTTGCAAAAGTCCAGCTTTCAAGTCCCAGAGGAGAGTTCATTCGTAGGTGGGGGTGGGGGATTAGATTATCCTATTGTTGTGCATTGTCTCATGATGATAGATAGATGTGGATCACCATCAGTACAGTCAGGAGTTGGTGGCTCCGTTTTCTGCAATATGGTGCCTGTAAATCTAACTTCAAAGCCTGCAAGGTCATTGGGAATATGGCCTGAGAGGTCTGGGCCACCCCCACATCAAAAAAGTTAAAGGCTATGTTGTCTGCTAGCAAATAGTCTCCCTAGGGAGGAAGTCAGATCACACAGAAAATGTTATTGCTCCAGAGCTCTTAGCCTCGGAGCCTGGTATAAACTGAAGACAATGGAGCTATGCCAGTTTACACCCATGTAAAATCTGGCCCGGATCTCAAAGCTCAGCATGCTTAAGAGCAATCAGCATTTTGCTGCCACTGTTAGTGCACCTGCAGTTAAACAGTAGATTGCTTTCTAAAGGGTTTGTTGGCACTGCATGTTCATAGTCCAGAGGGAAACTCCTGCACTTAACGGTAGGCTTTGAAGCCACCTTTCAATAAACTGACGTCCTGCAACTGCCCATTGCAAACTGCCCTTGTTTGCAGCTGGGCTGCGGGCACGAATAGAACAAGAAAAATAGTTACAAGCTTATTCGTGTCTAGCCAGTGATTGATACTGGCTAATTAAAACGCTGCTTAGTTAGGGTCCTCCCTAAGCCAGGCCCTGAGGTGTGGGGGCACATTGTTGCTGTTGACTCCAAAAAGGGAAAGATTTCTGAAATGTTTGTACTAGCTCTCTCTCTCTCTTCCTGCTGTTGCTTTCCCTAACTACAAGCATGTCTGTAGGACTGTAGTGTTTGGTTTCAGCTATAATGGTCCAGGGAATATGTAGGAAATGAGATGAGTTTGGTAGTATCTTATATTGGGTCAGCTATAGTTGGGAGGGATGATGGACAAGCTTTCAGGCACCAGATGCCCTGCCTAAGGAATGGGAAAGAAGCTGACACAGCTTAAACTACGTATCAGATTAAATTATTACTTTTGTTTAACCCTATTATGTAAAAGAGAAAGGGTAACTTAACAAGAGAAGAGGGCAGTAAACCTGTAGACTCTAGAGGCCTGTAGAGAAAAGAGAAGTTATCTGAAGTGGCTACAGGACGTGGAAAGAACAGCTAGAATCGGTAACCCTAATTATGTAAAAGAGTAAGTCTGTTCAAGAGGAAAGAAGATGATTACTTGTAGAGTGCAGAGATTACCAGAGGAAGCAGATAAACTCTAATGAACTATAAAAACCATTGTATGTGTTAAATTCCTGATGTTTTCATTGATTGTATCATTTCTAGGGAGTAGCCTGAGCATGGAGTTGAACATGCTCAGAGTTCAGGGGCTGCGTGAAGCTAGCATCTTAGCCCAAGACTTGTTATAACTGTGTATTTTATTTTTTTAGGGTCTTCCTGGTCCCCATGGAAACCCTGGCTCCCCTGGTCCACCTGGCCATAAAGTAAGTATCTGCTAGTGTGAAAAGCTTTTGCCTGTTGGCTCTCGAGGAGTGGGGGGGGGTAGCAAAGTCCATAAAACTACTGAACCCGAGAAGGGGCTGATAACAAGAACTCCTGCCCGTCCCCATTCCCTGCCCCCCCGCAACCTAGGGATGTTTCCAGCAACACTGAAAAGTCCTTTCCCTGCACCCTATAAGACTCACTGTCATATTGCAAGATACATCATTCTTCCCTCAAAGTTGTTAGGAAGCTCCCAACAGCACCATGTGATAAGATATCCCTTAAATAAGGGCCGTTGCTGCTGCTTGTCCTCTTCTGCGCCACTTCTCTGGGCTGGACAGTTCTGTTCTCCGTATTTGCACTGGTGCTACTACTAGCATCCAACTCATCTCATCGTAGAATTTATACAATACTTTGTGTTATTTAGAAAATGTAGACGTTCCAGAAAGCTAAGTTAGACTCTCTTTTATACTTTATCTAATCAGAAGTAGTTTTAGAACTCCTGGAAATCCAAGTAACACTGATCATAGTGTCATACATGAGACCAGAAAATGATTAGGATGCTGTTAGGGGATGGGGAAGTCAGGACTTAACTAAGATTTTTGCTAACAAAGTGAAAGCTCTAGGATTTCCTATCAAATGGGAAAGAAGGTGCATCCCACGGGGGCTTCCTTTCATTAACTCATCAGCAGATAGCCTGGTTTCCCCTGATAAAAAAATTACAAATTCTCTGATTTAAAAAAAAAATCGCAAATTCTCTGATAAAAACTGCAAAATTCATGAATAAAATGAAAGGCCCCCCACAGCCCCCCCCTCCCTCCCCCTCGGCCCTCCCTGCAGGAGGATGTGGTGGCGCGCCGCGAGCTGCCCGCTGCGGGTTTGGACTTCTCAGCCTGCTGCCCTCCCCCAGGGCTTCCACAGCTCAGCGGGTACAACCTGGCGCTGCAGGGTAGAGCGGGGCCGTGCAGGAAAACCACTTGCCGCTGTGAGCTCCGCACTGCCCTGGCGACACATCCCCAGCGTGCATGGCAGGAGCGGGGCATTGGCGTGGGGTTGTGCCCCTCAATGCAGCCCTGCACACAGGGGACACACAGCAGGGCAGCGTGGAGTTCACAGCAGCCTCGCTCTGCCGTACAGCACCAGTCGCACCCGCCGGGCTGCAGAGGCCCCAGGGTGGGCAGCAGGGCAGGAGCCCAAGCCCGCAGCAGGCAGCCCACCCTGCACACAAATCTGGGAGTCACGGGTCCTCCTTGCACCCCAGGAGTGCACCTAGCAATGGGAAGCTGCCCCCCTCCACAGGACGAGCTGTCCACTGCCCCGTCCCACTCCCCACCGGGGCCCTGTGGCCATGCATTGCAGCCATGGGCCTCATGCACTGCCCAGCTGGGCGGCAGCCCCAGCCCTAGCCTTGCCCAACTCCCTCTGTATGGGGGCCTCAATCCCCCATCACTTACCTGTGGGAACTGCTCTCCAGGCTGCCTGGTGGCCATGTGCATATGCATGCACATGGAGCCCCCTGCCTGCTCTCTTCCCGCTCCCACCCCGCGAGCTGGAACTCTGCCAGCCTGCAGACGGCTCGTTGCAAAACTGCAAAATCCGTGGGTTTTTTGCTAAAATGAGAAATCCACATTTTCCGTTAGTAAAGGGGGAAATCCGCATTTTATTCCGTTTTTCTGTGGAAAATGGAAAACCCAGATCCCTGCTCATCAGTAGGCAGAAATGTTACAAACATTAACTGATGCACTGGGGAAAAAAATTCTAGAGACCTGGCATTTTGCCCGTACGTGATTAAGAAGTAGGCATTAGAGACGTGCTGGCAAACAGCAGCTGTTTTAAATTTAAAAGTATAATTATATGGCCTGAGAAGTGAGGCTGTAAAAACTACATTTTAGCGTTCTACATTTATTCCCTGTCAATGACTTCCAGATCACACATGTGGAGTCTTACACATCAAATCAAGATCTTTTCATCATAGTCCTTGCAAATTCAGCCTTGTCCAATCTGCAGACTCAAGCTGGGTTTGGGGTTGGAGGTTCCCGCCTGCCTCTGCCCTGCACATCATCAAAAATTATCACTGACACTAACATTTCAGAGCTTTCTCCTCTCCAGCTGCATTGATTTGGCCCCCTGATAGAAATAAAAATTTCTTGCAGCTCTTTCTCCTACATCATGCTGGACAGGTGGGCTTGAGGCATAAATATTTGATGGACTGATAAATGAGTCTGGAGCAGAGACACATTCTAGTTACAGTGGTTTTTTCCCTGATAAGATGGAGCAGAGTTTTAGAGGAGATAAAATACAATTGAACACTTGGAGGAAAAGATCTCCCTTCCTCTCCCAAGCCAGGAGAAAAGCGCATCTCCTGCAAGGCAGGCTGTGCTTTGCAGCATGCTCTGATGCATCTTGTGGTTTGTCGCTCCAATGCAGAGAAGGAGCCTTTGTGTGCATCCCTGCTACCCCCCATCCTGTCCCGTCTCTCCCCTGCTGCCACACACGCACTGAGACCACAATGCTTCAGCTCTGTAGAATTCAAATCTGGGGACCTGACAGCTGACACCAGTCTTGGTCATCATTCTCCAATGGTTGAAACATCCCAGGTCATCTCCATTGCTTGAAGCTTGCAGTCAGAGTGAGGTTGTTTCAAAGAAGCCAGCACCCAACCATAGTTTACAGCTAGCATCATGACTTGTATCCAGAAGTAGGTGGAGACTGCTGTGCAACATAGGACAAATGCGCCATAAGGATGACTCCAGTAGGTACAGGGCTTCTGTATTCTGCACTAGCTAGGATCTCTCTGCTGCCTGGTTAGTTTTCCCTGCCTACCTTCTCACTGGTTGTTTGAAAAGAACCAGGAAAGGAAAGGAGTGAGTCTTTGTGCTGACCACTGTGACCAGTTCATCACAATGACCTTCAAAACAGTGAGATAACTCAGTTTGTCTTTGTCATATGAAAGCTGCAGCTAAGTCACAGGCTAAGGATGAATTCTCACGCAGCAGCGGAAGAGAGGTATTTGCAAGTTCTTCCAAAGCACCGACTAGATGACACTACCTCCTCTTGGCAGGTCCATACTGAGAACTGTAGCCTTCTCTTCTCTTCTACCTCCCATGAATGTAGCTGGTGTTCAAAGCCCAACTTTTCAGACTCATGTAGCAGGCAAGCAGATTAGATTGTCTACCACTCCCTCTCACTTCTAGTCTCGACAGATGAGATTTCGTATCAAGGGCCTGACTTTTCCCGAGTTGCTGCACCTCAGTGAATGGAGTTAACATGAGCTCTAGGAGTTCGGTGCCTCTAACAATCCCTTGATGAATAGGTAAACTAAGCAGTCCTGTCTGTAGCTTTTTCTGCTGAGAGACATAAGAGAGTCAAAGAGCTGCTAGATGAGGTCTTCCTAGACAGCACTTTGTAATAATAATAGCTTGGAAAAAACAAGCCATCCAACAAATGAAACCAAATTTTCCCAAACAGATAGAGCCTGGAAACGATGACTAACACAAAGCCAGTGACACTGAGAATATAAACCAAGACCCTGCTCATTTTCAACTGAGTTAACAGGGTGCAGATAAGGCTCAGCAGTCAGTTGCACATAAGGAACCTGATGCTTAATTTTATCAGAGCAGGATTTGTATGTAGGCGCATGCATGTGTTTGTATTTGTAATATTTTATTGCATCATAGAGCTCTCATGTTATGTTGTCAAACTAGTGTACATTTTGATATTCCCCATATTACGAATTCCACCTTATTTCCATCATGATGGTGACTCTTAGTAGTTTAATAAGCCATACTTAGAAAGTTGCTCTTTTAAACAGTACAGTATATGTATTTATAGTGCCAATTTTTTTGTTGTGCAAGTGGGCGTAGCCCCATTGATTTCAGTGGAGTTCCACCCATTTGCATCACTAGAGAATGTAGCCCATCTCATTTTTCCTCCGCTATTTATAATATATAACTGTTTAAATGGTACTCTTGCCACTTCAGATTTCTTGTGTTGTCTTTGGCAACCATGGTAACTTCATGTCTAGTTAATGAAGGTTACGATTGTATTTGATAACCTTTTCATTTGTTTTGGACAGCTGTTGTGCTAAGACCAAGTTCTTGACTCATTATATGATTAGGAGGTTGGGGGGGGGCAGAGAAATGCTTGCTAATGACTTGACGTAGCTTTGAGGATATTCTAGGAATATTCAGAACTGAGGTGGGAGAGGAGAGAAAGTTTCGCCATCAGCTAATGCATTTTTTAAAAGCTGCATAAAAGCAGTTGAAGGAGTGAGGGTTATCTCTCTCATCTGGAGGCTTTGGGTTGAAATGTTAAACTGTTTTCTTTAGGTGGCTGTTCTGAATAAATCCCCTATTCCTATTCTGAGAGTACAAATTTCCTTTGGGAGCATGATTTGGCTCCAGGAAGTTTGATGTTTTAAACATAGCTAGTACTGGGCTTGTTAGGCTGGTGTATTTTAGTTGTGCAGTTTTTATAAAGGGGAAGACCTTTCTTCCTGTAAAATGGGAGGTAGTGTGATCTGCTAGGCCATTGACGGATGTTCATTTAAAGGTATGATAGGATCTGATCATCCATACCAACAGTTGTGCCTGTGCCACACATGCATGGCAGGGTGCACACGTTTGGAATTGGGCATCAGGTTCGAATTGTGCTGTACTTGCTGGTGCAGGGGGAGTCCGGGATCATGATCATGCAGGCTCCCCCTGTACCACCAAGTAGAAAGCTGGGTTCCTGGTGAACCTGTACGGTCTTGGAGCCGATTGGTGGTGCCAACCTCACGACTGCACCAGAACCAGTTCAAGATCCCAGTGCAGTTTCTGGGTTGAGACCCTCAAACAGCCAACTGGCAGTCCCAGCCCTAGGACCACACACAAGTCTTGAACCAGCTCTAGTGCAGTCTCAGGGTTGATAGGACACATCAGCCAAGTGCTGGTCCCAGCCCTGGGACTGCACCAGACTCTTCAACTGCTCTGATGCAGTCCCATGGCTGAACCACCAATCAGCTGATCTCAGCCCTGGGACCACCCCGGAGCCAGTTGAAGACTTCAGCGTGATCCCACAGCTGGGAACACCAATCAGCTAATTGAATGTCCAAGCCTCGGGACTGCACCTGAACTGGTTCAAGACTCCCATGGGGTAGGACCACCAGTCAGCTGATTGGCAGTCCCTGCATACTGGTTACATGTTTAATTTAAGGCACAATGGAGACCAGCCACAAAATTAATACACAGATTATGTGGAAGAGTTTTGTAGCTTATTGCCCATTTTATCATGTCATAAATTGCATAAAGATGTGGCCAGGTCATTAAGAGGTGATTAAGTAGTTAATCATGTCTTAAGTGTAACATATGCCAGGGGTCTAAGTTAAAGCAAGAAATGGCATCGGTACTTCTGCCTTTTATTTCTAGTGCTGCCACAGATCTTGGGTAAGTTCATTTTTCTGTGCCTCAGCTTACCCACTTCTATAACAAATACAGTAGTGCTCACCAAACAGAAATGATGAGACAGAATCTTTGTCAAGTGCTTTGAGATCCTCGAGAGAGAGTGCTTTGGAAGCAAAACACCTACTTTACATGCTTCTAAGTCACCAAAGGAAGCACATGTGTCTGGGAAGGAAAGGGTAAGCATCTGCCTGTCGGGGTAGGGTCCTACCTTTACAAAATAAAATATTCCCTCCAATCCAGAAGGAACAGGGACCATATTACCCTGCTCTTAGCAGTCATGGAGCACACAAGTCGCTCCAAGGCCTGAAATGAAGGATGTCACAGATTGGGACTACAGCTTTGATAACAGCTAAATGCAAAGCAAGATGATCTGCATGACTTCATTTACTGTTTAGCAAACCCAGCAGTCTTCATTCACAATTTGTACAAGTACATCTGCATCGAATCAGCAGTGCTCTCTACAGTCCGTATCCAAGAAGTCTCTTGCTCACCAAACCTCTCAGCTTGTGTTGGATGGTGTGGACAGAGAGAAGGAGAGAGAATGGGAGATTTCCATTCTGTGGAAGTTTGAGGATAAGTGCCAAATGCAAATGTAGTCACAGTGAACCGTTGGCAGATTTGATCATCCAGCTGTAACTAGATCTTTGTGCTACTAATGAGAAATGCTAGTTCATAAATAATAATGGGACTCATATTTTAGATTCTGTGGTAGCACCTTCCAGCCAAGGACCCTCAAAACACTTGACAAACAGTAATTAACCCTCCCAACTGCCCTGTGCATGGGTAGGTAATCAGTTCCCATGGTTAAGTTGAAGTGCACAGGATTTGTAGGTTGTTTGTCCCAGAGAGAACAAGTGGCAAGTGCATAGTGTGGGGATACTTGTGTGTTTTCCCTGTGGCTGCAGCACAGGGCTACTACACAGATCTAAGATGTTTTGTATTGACTGAATCCAAGATGCCAAATGCTGGAATAATTAGGTATTCTGCGAGTCTTCACCCTCTTCCTCCGCTCATTCTTACCCTCTGCTGTGTTCTGGGGTCACCTGTTACGTTTCAGGCTGGAATTTCTAAAGGAACCGATTCATTTTGGACACTCAGGGCATTTATGCTCCAGGAGGTGGGGGGAAGTGCTTTAATTAAAGTGGCCCTGAGAGCAGCTTTAATTAAAGCACCTGGAGCATCTCGTGTATCAGCATCCCTGCGCTGAAAACTGGCGGCAGGGGTGCTTTAACTAAAGCGTGTCAAATGAGCTTTAATTAAATCGCCCCCACTGCCATTTTTCAGCGCAGGGATGCTGATAGACAAGATGCTGGAGTCTACTGGAGTATGGCAATTACCATGCTCTAGCAGACACGATAAATTGAGTTTGCTCCAATGCACTGTAATTACAGCATGTTGGAGCAGCCTCACTACATACACGCGCATGCGCACGTGCACATATGTATGTATATAGGCACCCTCAGTTCCTGAGGTTCCCCCACCACCACCTCCTTTCACCCACAGTCTTGAATTCAGGTTCCTCTGAAGAAGAAGAAAATATGGAACTCAAATCTCAGCTGTGGAAAAGGGAAATAAAGAATAGGGCTACTTAACACACTGTGCCTCTTTCTTCTGCCAGCCTAAAAGCCTTGCCACTGTTCGTCTTGCTTCTAACTTCTAGTTACTGTAACTTTTCCCTCTGGTTTCAAGTGTGTCCCAAAGTTAAAACAAGGAGCAGCATCTAGTAAGCTGCAGAACAGAACTGCTTAGTAATAGCAGTAGCAATGGTCTTATCTGTATTGTTGTGATAGCAATTTGTGTGTGTGCACACGCAGGGGGGCGGGGGAGAGAAATCACAACTATATAGTAAATAACTAAAGTTGTGGTATTCCTTTCTTTCACATATACTCTCTTTAGTCAATTTATGCAGTCCAAATTAGTTTAAGATCTTTATTGCTATAGCAGCTACAAACAATTCCAAAAGCAGTCTTAGTTCCGTCCCAGTAAAGCAGATCCAGAAAACATGAATGTTAAAATGTTTGGGAGGTGGGGATGAAATGGGGAAATAAAACTCCTTTTGAATGCCAAGGCTAATGTCAGCCAAGACCCTGTGCATGAAATGAGGAGTGTTCTCTCTGAACTAGGTCATGAACTTTGATTCTTTGTTTTAGGGTCAAAAAGGTGATCCTGGGCTGTCACCCGGAAAAGCTCGCAATGGACAGAAGGTAAGCAGTGCTATTTATTTTACAGATGAGAATTAGCCCACCAGATGAGAATCAGTATGTGCTCCATGCTGTAGGTACGAATAGGGGGGATTTAGGAAGGTGTGACAAAAGCACCTGTAGAGGTACCCGAGCGAGCTATTAGCTCACTGGGTTGTGTACTGATGGCAGCAGGAAGGGCTTGATGCATAAGGAGTTCTGAAT